GGGTGGGTGATGGGTATTGAGGAGGGCACCTTTTGGGATGAGCACTGGGTGTTGTATGGAAACCAATTTGACAATAAATTTCATATATTGAAAAAATAAAATAAAATACAGAACTCTGAGAGAAAATTGGGTTTGATATAAAGAAATTAGAAACCAATTTGTGGCCATATTTTTGCAGTACGTAGAACTGAATGGCATGTACATTAGTCATTAAACTTATCCCATTTCACCCTTTATTTCATCTTCATTTTCTATCCCATTTTTCTTTGTTCCAATTTTGTCATTTATTTTTCTGTTATTATATATTTATGTTTCCTCAATTTCTCTTTGGAACAAGGCAGATTTCATTGGTAAATATTTTATATTGAACTAGAGTTTATTTGCCATTTTTTTAAATAGGAAATATATATTCAGGCTCTAGAAAAATTGATATTCTAAATAAAGTTGTGTTTTGTGTTATGATTTTGCTTTATTGTATTAACATTAAGCTTTATTTGGATCAAGTAAAATTAATGTTGGAATTACAAAAATTATTGTTCTAATGTTTTCCAGTTGCTGATAGGTTATGAAAATGGTACTGTAGTATTCTGGGACTTGAAATCTAAAAGAGCAGAACTGAGAGTTTATTATGATGAGGTAAGTGATTTCTACTGAAATATTTGAAAAGGATATTATAACTTTGTGCCTGTTTTCTACTCTAAGCTTTGCACATTACCAATTTTTATCATTGGGAAACTGCCTGGTTCTGACCCAGTGCCTCATATTGACCGTTGGCATTTGCACAAGTTTTAACTCTGGATTGTTCTCCTGAATGAGAATTCTCCATTGACTGTTTTTGGGTCCCATTTGGCATCTTATATACATTGATGCCTAATATCTATCCTTTTCCTTCTTTAGGTTTTCCATGGTTATGTCTTGCCTCACTCAGTACCCTTAAGATCTTTAAAGACACTATTCACAACTTCCTTAGAAAATTCTTTTTCTGTGGCAGAAAATTTAAGAGGTCAGTTTGAAAGGCCTTATCATACAATACTTGCCTTCTCAGAATAAAGATTGATTTTGTAAATAGTAATACTTAAGAGTCAGTACGATCTTGAAGGAAGTTTTATTGTACATAGTTGAGACCATTAGGTTTTCATTTAGAGAAAGCAATGAACTGCTGTTTATCAGAGAATAGACTGCATTAATACTCTAGTTGTTTAAAGATTTCCCCTTTCAGAAGAACCTAATATGAAGATAGGTTGGGGCAAAAAGTGAAAAAGGGTAATTACCTCTTATAGTTGTGGATATAAATGTAAGCTCTCAATTCAATTTTAAAAATAGTAAAGTAGGGAGAGTTAGGAAAATACAGGTCAAATAATCATTATCTGGTATCACCCGCACTTATATGGGAAGAATGCAGAAGAATTTAAGGCAACACTGAGATAAATAGAAAAATTAAAAAAAACCACATTTCTTCATGTTCTACCTCCCATCCTTTCATAACAGTTGAATTTTTAAATTCGATGCTTAAAGATAGAAGCTTTTGGCTATTTCATAACCACACACACACCCAATTTGTTTCTTAGTGGTTCTCGCAAACTAAGATTTTATGGTATGTACAAGATAATTCTCATAGTGACAGAGTTCAGAAGTACTTAGTTGGGTAATTTGGTCATGATTGGTGGAAGATACCCTGCAGGTGATGTCATACATTTATGCTCTGTGTGATGAACTTCTATTGCATCTTGAATCATAAGGAGAGAAGTCCCTGGGGAGCTAAGCTAGATTTTTCTTTTGTTAAATACACAAAATATAAAGATGACTAGTAGCTAGATAAAAGTACAAATATGATCTGAGTATTTAGCCAATTGGAAATAGAGTAGGCCATTGAAAAAGGAAATCCAGAGAAAAATGCTGACTCAGCTGCTTTTTTTTATGCCCTAAAACAGTGTAGAAGGAAGAGTTCTAACCTTAAAAAGTGAGCAAAAACAACTTTTAGTGAAATTTTCAAATAAACATTAACAATGTTTAAGTCAGTAGAGTATTACACTACACCTACTTTATACCTAAAAATCATTTTAAATATTGACTTATGTATATATGTATGTATATACATATAATCTATTTACTGTGATGCATAATTATATATCCTATCATTTTAATGGAGATAGTTATATATATCATTTTACTGCCAAACTTTTAAGACTTTCCTCAGCACTTTACCTCTTGTATTTAGAATTTACTTGTAATACTATTATGAAATGGTTTCTAATAAGTCACCAATGACCTCTTCATTATTTAAATAGTGACCCCTTCATAGTCTTTTAAGTTTCTCATTAAACCTGTGCCTTTACATCAGCCCCTCCTTCTTAAAATTGTGTCTTCCCTTGTCTGTGTCTTTCTACCTCATTTTTTGCCCCTCCTTTCTCCATCACTTCTTTCCTTAGTTTTCCTTTAAATTAGAGACACTCTTCAGGATTCTATATCTTTACCCTCTTGATTTCTCCTCCAGTTTACATTTGTATTCATGTCCTTTTCTCATCATTTCAAATATTAATTTTATGTTAATAAATTTAAAATCAATGTATCTCTAACCCTTACCTTTCTCCTGAGCTCTTGATCCATATATCTAACAATCTATCACACAAGTCCAGGTAAATATCTCATTGACACTGAATTTACATTTAAAGACCTAAACCTTGTTCTGTGTTCTCTTTTTCAGTTTTTAAATTTTGATTATTTATTCCAGTTTGTAACCCTTAGAGTCATATTTAATCTTTCTTCTTTATATATCCTATGCTATCAGTTTTGTAGTCTCTTGATTCTGTTATATTGTCTATCATTCATTTCCTTTCTTTTTTTCATTCCCACATTCAATGTTCTAATCTAGGTTGTTATCTCTTGCCTGGAAGACTATGATAGCCTTTTAACTAATTGCATTTCCTCTGATATCTTGCCTTTTCAGTATCTTTCACTAACAAGATTATCATTTTAAGACACAGATCATGTAATTCTCTACCTCAGAAACTTTGAATGGCTCCCAATTATCAACAATACAAAATCTTTATTCCTTGACAGGAGATTTAAGATCCCAATGTTATCTTTTCCCTTTAGTTTAATGCCATGAATCTTTATAAGCACTCCTCACTCTTCAGGCATATTACTATCTGCTAAACATACCATTTATTTTCCACCTCCAAGCCTTTGCTCCAGCTAATTCCTTGTCATGAACTCCCTTCTTTCCTCTTTTGCATATCAAAATCCTATTAACTTTTTAGCCACTGTAAAGCTATTTGGACTACCTAACTAGCCCCTTGATGAATAGCCATTGATGAATTGAAAGGTTTGTTTTATAAATCCAACATCGTTTTCAGAAATAACTATATGAATTTACTCCCACATTAGCTGTGACATTTTTGTTTCATTATGTCAATATTTCTAAATAATCTCTCACAGTGAAAACCCTCAGAGTTTGACATGATGATAACCTTTTAATTCCTTGAGTAGCCACTGATTGTCCTTTTTCATATTGATATCTGCTTTTTGGGTTTCCTTTTTCTTTTTTGTTGTAGACAGAAACTCAATCACAGCCATCGAGTTGACCAAACTAGCTAGTGTTTCATCTTCTGTATTTTATTTTCTATCTTTTTAAAAATTCTTCTTGTATTAGTTATATTTGTGTGTGCTTTTGTTTTTGCTTTGTTTCATTTTTGGTTTTTCTTCAGAACCTTAAGGTCCTTTTTTAAGAAAGGAGTAGGGTATAATCAAATTAATAGAAATTGGGTACTTACCCATTAAATGTATTCAAATGCCAGTTCTTCAGTGATGCACTATTTGACTTTCTCTAATAACAAACTGGTTTTAGATGCCTATTCTTACCTATAAGTGTACAATAAGTATATATCTTTCATGGCACTTAGACTTATTTTGCTTTTATGTTGTAGCTATTATTTTTGTACTTGTCTTCCCCAGAAGGTAGGAAGAAATTCAGTAAGATAGGAAGAAGGGTTAGGGCTGGAGATGATCTCTCTGCCTCCATCATTCATAGCAAAGCAGTCTGAGAGAACTTTACATTGAGTTCATCCAGTTAACACGTAAAAGTTAAAACATTTCCCTTGATCTATCCAAAATAGTAAGAATGAGCAAAGGAAAAGATGAAGAGTATTTTCCTCTAACTGCCTCTACTGAACCCTGGCAAAAAAAAAAAAAAAAAAAAAAAAAAAAAAAAAAAAAAAAAAAAAAAAGTCTTTAGTAATGAAGACCAGAATGAGAGAGAAAATAAGTCCAGGGTTCCATGTTGTCTTTTCATTTAATTAAATCTTACTTATCTTGAGGTACAGCTCATATCCTATGTCCTTTTATGATGTATTTAATGATTACTCTAGCCATCAGTTATCTCTAACTCTAATAATACTTACTGTTTGGAAAACAAACAATAAATTAGTTTTAAATACACATATCTTAGTATATGGTGTTTGTGTGTGTGTGTGTGTGTGTATCTTAGTTTTATATGCAAATATATATGCATATTTATGTTAAAAGTTCCAAACAATAACTATTATTAATATTCATTTATTTCAGTCTTCCCTATTTTGCAGTTTTGAAAGTTCCTTTAAGGAAAGGGTAATGTTGTACATATCTGTTCAGCTTTTATGCATTATCCAAAGTCCATATAAACTTTATGATTTAGAAAGAATACCAAGCTGTGGAAATATATGATAACGTTATTATTCATACAACAGATATTGAGTATCTATTTTATGCAAGGCACTGTGCTACCACTGGGAATAAAACAATATGTGAAACTGGAATAATTACTTGTTAATTTTATGTATTTCACATCTTCAGAGTGAAATTAGAAGTATAAAAAAAGATTTAAATCCTTCTTCCTTAAACCCTAAATTGCCAAGCCAATTAAATAATTCATGTTAGAAGCAATATGGTAAAATGATTGAGAATGTGGGTTTTGTGGTTGGATAGACCTTGGCTTTGAATTGTGTGACCTGAACAAGTATATCAATCTCTGTAGGCCTATTTCACCATGTGCAAATTGGAAAAAATAATACCTTTTTAATAAAATTAATAGAGTTAATATAAATAAAGTGTTTTCCAAGGGGTCTAGCACATAGTAAGCCCTCAGATGGTAGCTCTTATGTAAATTATTTTTTAAATTGGCTACTTTAGGTGAAAGTAGGCCTCTACCTTTCCAGAAATCATCTTCAGATAACCTTGATTTTATTTCTATGTAGATAATTTTCCAAATAATCATATAGGATACAGGGAGGACATAGAATTTACAACAAAAAGTTCTAGGCTCTAATGATATTATGAAATGTACCTAACTTTTATCTCAGGAGATTATTTTTTGTAGTCTTCTATAAGCTTATAGAGGACTAGAGCTAAAGGTAGGATGATCTGGGTCAGAAAAATTATGTATGTTTATTAAGTATTGTTGGTATAATAATTTTATCTCAGAATATATTTCCTTTGGAATATAGAATGCTATAACATATCAACTTTCCCCCTCCCCACTTGTTTTTAATTGCTGTTTCATTAGGCTATTCATTCAATTGATTGGCATCATGAGGGCAAACAATTCATGTGCAGCCATTCAGATGGTAGCTTGACTTTATGGAACCTGAAAAGCCCAAGTCGTCCTTTCCAGACTACAATTCCACATGGTAAGGTGTATGCTTTCCAAAGAAATAAACTCTGGAGATATAGTGCCTAGACTTGAAGTGGAACAGGTGGTATCAGTGTGTTTGAAAGAAAGTAATAGGATGTAACTTCTGATTTTAAATACCTCTTTATACCTCCTTCAGATCCCCACATTATACTCCAAACTTTCTGTACTTTCCCTCCCCTGTGTCTATCCACTTTCCTACTTTGTGATACTTATATAGAGACCTTTCCAACCAAAACTGAATGATGGATGGTTGATGTATCTGAAGCACAGGAGATAATGTAGAAAATCTGTCCAGTTTTAAGGGTTACAGAGATAGTGAGAATGACACCATATAGATCTGACTTTCAGACCTAATTCCTAAACTGGTTTATAGTTTGTCATTTTCTAGATTCTCTCACTTATTTCCATTTCTACCATTTGATTCCATTAAATTATGAGAACTATGGTTTTCATTGTAGATTATATTTCTTATTATCTTCCTTATCAAAAGGATGTATTTAAGGTTTATATTGTACCTGTCTCACTGGGCAGAATAAAAAGTTCAAATGTATGAGTATCTTTTATTCAGATGACCATTTTATTTCTGAGAATATTGGTAGTGATCTGAGTTCCATGTTTACCTTATATCATTGGTTGTAAGAATAGAGAGGTCAAAACCTAGCAGTTAATCAAACACAGTCTATTTTATATTTTCTGAGCATTTATTATAGTGTCAGATTTAGAAAATTTAGTATTATTTCTTTATAATGAATGACCCATAAACCACAAGATCCACTTATTCCATCTTGTCTTGGTCTGTCCTTTTTTCTACCACATTTGCATGTTCCATTTACAAATTATTAAATTATTACAACATTTAACCTAGCAGCTTTACTTAGAGATTACTTTGTATTTACTCACTTACTTTCAGATGCTTCATTTACAGATTGCCAGTATAGAAACCTTGGATAGTTATTTGCTATACCTCCCACTCAGATTTAAATATTTATTTCTATGATGAGTTTACTTTTTCTCCTCCCCCTAAAATCCTTATGCCTTTTTTTTGTATGTGTGTAATATGATTTATTCATAAATTTTCTGTTTACTTCTATTCTTCTTGACTGTCAACTTCTATACGAGTTCTTTTTGGCTGGATTAGATATTTAATACTTTCATATGTTTCACCATATCCATATTTATAAGTTAGGGTTGTTTTCTGTACAGTTGACCCTAGAACAGTATGGGAGATGAGGCACGGATCCTCATGTAGTTGAAAATCTGTGTATATATAACTTTTGACTCCTCCAAAACTTGTCTAATAACAGCATACTGTTGACTAGAAGCCTTACTGATAAACACAGTCAATTAATACATATTTTGTATATGTGTCATATACTGTATTCTTACAATAAGGTAAGCTGGAGAAAAGGAAATGTTATTAAAATCATAGAAAGAAAAGATATATTTACAGTACTATATTTATTTTTAAAAATCTACTCCTTTGAATCACTAGGTTTTTTTTTTAAAGCTTATATATTTATTTATTTTGAGAAAGAGAGGGTGGGGGAGGGAGGGGCAGAGAAAGAAAGGAGAAAGAGAATCCTAAGCAAACTCTGTGCTGTCAGCACATAGCCTGACTCGGGTCTCAATCCCACGAATCATGAGATCATGACCTTACCTGAGATCAAGAGTTGTATGCTTAATGGACTGAGCCACCTAGGCAGCCCTAAATTAGTTTTATGTTTTTTGGGCAAATACCTAATAGTGCAATTGCTGGATTGAAGGGTAGTTCTATTTTTAACTTTTTGAGGAAACTTCATATTGTTTTCCAGAGTGGCTTGTACACCTGAAACTAATATTATACTGTATATTAACTAGCTGGAATTTGAATAAAAACTTTTAAAAAATCTTTACATGAGTAGACCCACACAGTTCAAACCCATGCTGTTCAAGAGTCAACTATAATTCTGTTTTCCTGTTGAAAGGGCTAAAATTCTGTTCACAGGTTGTTGAAAACATTAGCACCTGTCTCATAACATACAGATTAAGTTAAATACCATTGCCTCACCATAGTTAAACAGACATCAGTGATTTTTACAATAAAGGCATTCATTGTCATATTTATCTATATTCTTCAGGTTCATTTTGTTACATTTCATTTCACCTATTTTTATTTTAGAAAATAAAAATTTTTCTAAGTAGTACTTTAGCTGTATTCTATAAGTTTTGATATTAATTTTATTAAAAATTTTTAATTTTCATTAATATTCAGTTTGAGGTATTTTCTAATTTCTATTATAATTTCTTTGATGTCTGAGTTAGACATTTGTTTTATAATTTCTAAAAATGTGTTTTGTTATAGATTTGGAAACTAACTGTAGTCTGAGAATGTGGTGTGATACTAGTTCTACAAAATTTACTGTGATTTGCTTTATAATTAGATATAAACAAATAATTACTACAAAGTTCCAAGTACGCTTGAAAAGAATACATTTCCAATACAAAGGTCAAACTTGAAATTGTGTTTTCTTTGTATTTTAAATCTTTGCTAAGTTTTTATTGTTTGATTTTCCAATTTTGAGAGAGGTAAGTTAAAATTCTATTATTATAGATTTTTCCCTGTAATTCTGTTCATTTCTGCTTTATATACTGTAAAAATCAAGTAGGTCGAGGTGATTGATAATATTAATCAGATCCTCTGATTTTAGTGATACTTGATTAGTATTATCAATTTCTGAGAGAATGGTATTAAAATTTCTTACGGATTATGGAATGACCATTTTTTACTTTAGTTCTGTCGTTTTTTGTTTCATGTATTTTTGAGGCTTAATTGTTAGGCATCCATTATGTCTCCTATAGAGGGCATATAGTTGGGTCTTTTTTATTTTTAATGTTTATTTATTTTTGAGAGAGAGCATATGAGCAGGGGAGGGGCAGAGAGACTGGTGGGCAGAGGATCTGAAGCAGGCTCTGTGCTGACAGCAGTCACAAACCATGAGATCATGACCTGATCCAAAGTTGGACGCTCAACCAGTTGAGCCACCGAGGTGCCCCAGTTGGGTCTTTTTTATTTCGTCTCTATCATTTAGTCGAAGTATTTTGTCCATTAATATTAAATGTAATTACTGATGGAATTGGATTTAGGCACACCAAGTTATTTGTTTTCTGTTGATCCGATCTTTTTTTTTGTTTCTTTCATCTTTTTTTTTTTTTTTTTTTTTTTTTTTTTTTTTTTTTTTTTTTTTTTTTTGTCTTCTGGATTATGTGAAAGTTTTTATTAGAATTTCCTTCTAATTTACATGTAGGCATTTTATCATTTTTTTGATCAGTTACTCTAGGGATTACAGTATACTTCTTTAACTTTTCACAGTCTATTAGAGTTAACATTGTAGCACTTTATGAAAAAATGTAGAAGCTTCATAATCATATATTTATTTACATTTATACTATTATAATAGTTATATATGTTCTAAATACACTGTTGTAATTTTTGCTTTAAGTAGTCTTAAGTATTTTTTTAATTAGAAGGAAAATATTCTGTATTTTATTTATAATTTTCTTAATATAATTTTGTATTTATGAAGTTTTATAATTTCATTTGTCTTGAGGATACAGCAACATCATTCGGCATTTCACTTACCTTCCTTTATCTAAAAGTTCTTCTCTTTTTTTCTTTTATTCTTGAAGCACATTTATGATGCATTTAAATTTCTGGGTTGACAGTTTGTATATGTGTGTGTGTTGTTTTTAAGGTGCTGAATGAACGCTTTAAAAATGTTCCATTATTTTCTGGTTTACAGTGTTTCTGAATGAGAAATGTGTGGTGTTTTTGACATTTGGTTCCCTTGTATATAATTTGTTGTTTTCCCCTGGCTAATTTCAAAATTTTATAACTTTTATTTTCAATAATTTGACTATGATATGCCTAGAGTTTTCTTCTTCAAATTCATTCTGTTTAAGAGTTACAGAGCGGGGCGCCTGGGTGGCGCAGTCGGTTAAGCGTCCGACTTCAGCCAGGTCACGATCTCGCGGTCCGTGAGTTCGAGCCCCGCGTCGGGCTCTGGGCTGATGGCTCAGAGCCTGGAGCCTGTTTCCGATTCTGTGTCTCCCTCTCTCTCTGCCCCTCCCCCGTTCATGCTCTGTCTCTCTCTGTCCCAAAAATAAATAAAAGTTGAAAAAAAAAAAAAGAAAAAAAAGAGTTACAGAGCTTCTTACATTTAGAAATTTATATCTCTCACAAAATTGGGGAAATTTTCAGGCTTTTATTTTTTCAAATGTGTTTTTCTGCTCCAACCTCTCTCTACATCTATTTTTGAAACACTAGTTATCTGTCTGGTAGAATTTTTGGTATTGTCCCACATGTTTCTGAGCCTCCATTTTTTTGTTAATCATTTTTTCTCTGAATTTCAAATTGGATAATTCCCATTGGTCTTTTTCCTCTGTAATCTTCATTCAGCTATTAAGTCCCTTAAGTTATTTTTATTTTAGATATTTTTCCACTTGCTACCTTTTTATATTTTGTATTTTTCTGCTGATATTTCCCCTGTTTAGTCATTATGAGCATTTCCCTTCCCTTCCTTTCCCTTCTCTTTCCTTTAAACATTGAGTCTAGTTATAATTGTTGTTTTAAATCTTTGTCTGATGAAACCAAAATATGCTTCCCCTTGAAGATGGCCTCTGTTCATAAGAATGACTCAAATTTTTCTGCTTCTTCATATATCTAATAATTTGGACTGTATAATGCATATTATGGATATTATGTTGAATATAGTGTAGAATATAATTTTGTTACCCCCCCTTTTCTTTAGCCATTGTGTTTCCTAAACTGGGAAACCATATATAGATTTATTATTTTTCTACAAATCAATATTTTCTATACTACAAAAGTAGGCTTTGTCTGACACTCATATTGGACAGTAGTAGGAAAAGAGGGAAGGTGGCCACAGCCAACAAGGTTAATTTAGTACCTATTTTACTTGAGGTTAGCACTGTGGTGACATTGTCCTTGTTGTAGCTGGTTTTCACTAGTACTACAGATATTATTTTTCTTTCACAGTAAATTTTAATGATTTCACATATGTATTATTCAATCACAATGCCCTCAGCTAAACACACACACACACACACACACACACACACACACACAATCTACATATATGATCTTAAATCCCATCTAATCCTTAATAGTGACATTGTTGCTCAGAAACAGGATAGAGATGTCAACAATTATCACCATTATTTAACATTTTCCTCAAAACAATATGTAATGTAATTAGACTTGAAAAAGAATTATGATATTTAAGAGGTTAGAGGTTTTGGGGCACCTGGGCAGCTCAGTCGATTAAACGTCCAACTTCAGCTCAGGTCATGATCTCATAGTTTGAGTTTGAGCCCCGCTTCAGGCTCTGTGCTGACACCTCAGAGCCTGGAGCCTGCTTCAGAGTCTGTGTTTCCCTCTCTCTTTCTGCCATTCTGCTTTTGCTCTCAGTCTCTCTCTCAAAAATAAATAAATATTTTTTAAAAGTTTTGAGGGTTCAAAATTACAATTACTTTTCGATAATGTAATTGCACAGCTAAAAATAAAAACTAATTAGGAATACTATTAAGTATAACATGAGAATTCTGTATACAAAACAAAGTGGATGATTACAACCATGAAAAAAATAGCATCCATAAGAATCCCCGAAGTAAATGTAAAATAACAGTGAGATATTATTTCTACTAAAGGACATAAGGAGGACTTTAATAAATGAAAAACATACCCTATGTATGCATGGGTAGAGTTAATATTATAAAATGTTAGCTCCCCACATATTAATTCCAAATTCAATCTGTTCCCAAGAAAAATAACAGTTTTTAAAAATCAGATGTACATATGTACAGCAAAAATAAACATGAAAATAGGAAAATTATTTGAACAAAAAGAAATGGTCTATTATAGATGGTTTGGAAGATTATATGCCCTGAACAATGCTTGCTGAAATAAATAAATTCTTACTGAAATGAAAGAAATTTATTGAAGTGTGTGTGTATATGCATGTGTGAGTGTGTGTGTGTGTGTGTGTGTGTGTACTGTGTTTTAAATGTCATTGAGCTAGCAACCATAAAAACAAGGTAAATTTAAAGATCCCCAAAACTTTGTTAAACTAGAAATCCTGAGATATAAGTGATGAAAATAGTTTGTTCTGAAGTTTAATGCTGTACTTCAAAGAACTTAAACTTCTATTTTTAAAAAATACAAATTTGTTGAGATGTAATTCACAATTCACTAAAGTGTACAATTCAGTGGTTTTTCATTTATTCAGTTATGCAACCATCAACACAATCTAATTTTAGAACATTTTTGTCATCCCCAAAAGAAATCCCATACTCATTAACAGTCATCTTATCACTAGTCCTCCATCATTAGGCAACTGCTGGTGTTCCTCTGTCTGTAGACTTGACTACATTTCATTTCATGCAAATGAACTCCGATTAAATGTAGTCTTTCATGACTGGTTTCTTTCACTTAGAATAATTTTTTCAAGGTTCATCCATGTCATAGCAAATTTAAGTATTTTATTTCTGTTCATTGGTGAATAATATTCCGTGGTATGGATATACCACTTTTTTTATCTATTCATCACATGATGGGCATTTGGGTTGTTTTCATATTTTGACTATCTGAATAATTCTGTGAATGTTTACGTACAACTTTTATATGGACACATATTTTCATTTCTCTTTGGAATATACCTAAGAATCGAATTACTGGATCAAATGACAACTCCTATTTAACATTTTAAGGAACCGCCAAATTGTATTCCAGAGTCCTCAGACTTTTACATACTTACCAGCAATGTATTAGGCTTCCAACTTTTCCACATCTTTATCAACATTTGTTAATATCTATCTTTATTATAGCCATCTTGGTAGGTATGCAATAATATCTCATTGTGGTTTTAAATGATATTTCCCTAATGAATAAAGATATTGAATATCTGTTCATGTGCTTATTGTCATTTTTAATATTTCTTGGTGACACACTGATTCAGGTCCTTTGCCCATTTACAAATTGGGTGTCTTTTTTCATTATTATTATGGAGGTGTAATAGTTCATTATATAGTAGACCATATATACATACACCGAATCTTCTTTATCCATTCATCTATGGATAGACACTTCCATTTTTGGCTACTGTAAATACTGCAATAAACATAGAGGTGCATATATCTTTTCAAATTAGTGTTTTGTTTTGTTGGGCTAAAAACCCAGTAGTGGAAGTACTGGATCATATGGTATTTCTATTTTTAATTTTTTGAGAAATCTCCATGCTGTTTTCCATGGTGACAGCACCAATTTACATTCCCACCAACAGTGCAGTAGGGTCTGTTTTCCTCCACATCCTTGCCAACACTTGTTATTTCTAGTCTTTTTGATTCTAGCTGTTCTCACAGGTGTAAGGTGACCTCTCATTGTGGTTTTGATTTGCATTTTCCTGATGATTAGTGATGTTGAGCATCTTTTCATATGTCTGTTGGCCATCTGTATGTCATCTTTGGAAAAAGGTCTGTTCAAGTCCTCTGTGTATTTTTTAATCAGATTGGTTTTATTTTATTTATTTATTTTTTTGGTGTTGAGTTGTATAATTTCTTCATATATTTTGGACATTAACCTTTATCAGATACATCATTTTAAAATATTTTTCTCCCATTAAGTAAGTTGCCTTTTCATTTTGTTAATGACTTCCTTCACTGTGCAAAAGCTTTTTATTTTGGTGTGGTCCCAATAATTTATTTTTGCTTTTGTTTCTCTTACCTGAGGAGATGTACCTAGAAGAATATTGGTAAGGCCAATGTCAAAGAGATTACTGCCTATCTTTTCTTGTGGGAGTTTTATGGTTTTAGGTCTTTCATTTAGGACTTTAATCCATCTGCAGTTTATTTTTGTATATGGTATAAGAAAGTAGCACAGTTTTATTCTTTTGCATGTAGCTGTTCAGTTTTCCTAACACCATTTTTTGAAGAGAATTGTCATTTTCCCATTGGATATTTTTGTCTCCTTTGTCATAGATTGACCGTATAAACATGATTTGTTTCTGGGCATTCTATTCTGTTCCTTGGACTATATGTGTTGTTTTATTTTTTTGTTGTTGGGTTTTTTGGTGTGTGTGTGTTTTTGTGTGTGTGTGTTTTGTTTTGTGAGTACCATACTGTTTTGATTATTACAGCTTTGTAGTAAATCTTGAAATCTGGAATTGTGATACCTTTAGCTTTGTTCTTCTTTCTCAAGATTGCTTTGGCTATTTGGGGTCTTCTGTGATTCCGTACAAATTTTAGGATTATTTGTTCTAGTTTTGTGAAAAATGCTATTGGCATTTTGATAGGGATTGCATTGAATTTGTTGATTGCTTTGGGTAGTATGGATATTTTAATGATATTCTTTCAATACATGAGCATGGGCTATTTTTCCATTTGTGTAATCTTTCATTTCTTTTATCACTGTTTTATAGTTTTCAGAGTATAAGTCTTTCACCTCCTTGGTTATGTTTATCCCTAGACATTTCATACTTTACAGTCCAATTGTAAGTGGGATTGTTTTTTTTTTTAATTTTTCTTTCTGTTACTTCATTATTAGTATATACAAATGCAACAGATATTTGTATATTAATTTTGTATCCCACAACATTACTGAATTAATTTATGCTAACAATTTTCTTCTTCTTGTTTGACTGCTGAAGCTAAGACTCCCAGTACTATGTTAAAAAGTGGCGAGATTGGACATCCTTGTCCTGATCTGAGAGGAAAAGCTCTGTTTTTCACCATTGAGCATGATGTTACCTGTGGGTTTTGTTATATATCACTTTTATAATGTTGAGGTATGTTCCCGCTAAACTCATTTTGTTAAGAGTTTTCATCATGAATGGATGTTGAATTTTATCAAATACTTTTTGTACATATATTGATATGATCTTATCACTTTTATCCTTCATTTTGTTAATGTGATGTATCACATTGAATGTTTTGTATATATTAAGCCATCCTTGCATTCTTCTTGGAATAAATTTTACTTGATGATGGTGAATGATCCTTTTAATGTGTTGCTAATGCAGTTTGTTAATATTTTGTTAAGAAGTTTTGTATCTTGGGGCACGTGGGTGGCTCAATCACTTGAGCGTCTGACTTTGGTTCAGGTCACCATCTCACAGTTCGTGAGTTTGAGCCCCGCATTGGGCTCTGTGCTGACAGCTCAGAGCCTGGAGCCTGCTTTGGATTCTGTGTCTCCCTCTCTCTCTGCCCCTCCCCTGTTCATGCTCTGTCTCTCTCTCTCAAAACTAAATAAACATTAAAAAATTAAAAAAAAAGTTTTGTATTTGTGTTCATCAAGGTTCTTGCCCTATAGTTTTCTTTTCACAGTGTCTTTGGTTTTGTTTTCAGGATATTGCTGACCTCATAGAGTGTATTTAGAAGCTTTCCCTTTTCTTCTATCTTTTGGAATAGTTTGAGAAGAATAGATATTAACTCTTCTTCAAATGTTTGGTAGAATTCACCTGTGAATCAATCTGGATGTGGACTTTTGTTTGTTGGAAGTTTTTTGATTATCTTTTGAATTTCATTACTACTAATTGGTCTGTTTAGATTTTTTAGATTTTATATTTCTTCCTGATTCATTTCTATAAGTGTCTATGTTTCTAGGAAGTTATTCATTTCTTCCAGGTTGTCCACTTTGTTGACATATAATTTGTGTAGTAGTTTCTTATAATCCTTTGTATTTTTCTTCAATGTCAGCTGTTACTGACTTCTCCTCCTTCATTTCTGATTTTGTTTATTTGGGCCCACTCTCTTTTTTGTTTGTTTGTTTTTGATGAGTCTGGCTAAAGTTTATCAATTTTGTTTACCTTTTTAAATAAGCAACTCTTGGTTTCATTGATTTTTCTATCGATTTTTTAGTCTTTATTTAATTTATTTCTGATG